ATAACTTTTCATTTAATGGAGCTATGACTTTCATATTTAATATGTATATTCCTTGTGACAAGACCTTACTTTGGGTTCCACCAATTTTGACCTTTACCTTGGAGTTTGTCCCATTTTACACAAAATTTCCAAATTTTTACTTTGGCCATAACTTTTAAACGGTACATACTAGTACTCTCATATTTCAAACATGTAGTTTTTTGGCATTACCTTTCATTGGATACTAAACACCTTGACCTTTTGACCTTCGCCTTGGAGTTTTCCATACTTGTGATTTTTTTTAAACCTTGGCCATAACTTTTGAAGGGTAAGGACTAGGGTATTCATACTTCACATATGTAATCGTTGTTACATTAAACATTTTCTTAAGAAATCATCAACTTTGACCTTTGAGTTTGACCTACCGTTCAAAAACTTATCCTTAGTCATTACTTTTGAACAAGTGGTGCTAGGGCTTTCCTATTTTGCAGTTGTATTTCTTGTGAGAAGACCCTACTTTGGGTAACAATATATTTAAATTGCATTTAAGAAAAGGTTAATCTTCGCTATGTTGCCATACAGGGGCATAGCTGTTTCACAAACACATCTTTTTATATATGAGGATTTGCGGAGAAGAGATGGATACCTCAAAGCGTAACAGACGGACGGACGGACATCCCGATCACTATATACCATCCCGCTTTTCAAGCGGGGGATATAATAATTTATAATACTGCTGATTTTTTCTGTCAGTTCGATGATTTCCACCATCAAAAAACAATGTTTACCTAACCCTTAAGGCTTGATAAATCTTTTACTCTTTTAGATACTGAATCATTGCATTTACCTTAAAATATAACTATAATTGTATAATGTTATGAGATCAACATATCATCAGTTTATTCCCAATAAGCTCAGGTGAGCATTTTGGCCAATATGCTTCTTTATCCAATTTTTCTTTTTTTGCCCCTAAAAATTTTAGCTTTAATCTACAGGGGGTCATTTTTCTACGGGGGTAATTTTTCTTCACGTGGGTTCTGCAATATTTTAGGGAAGTGACACTTTTTCTACGGGCAAAAGGGTCAATTTTCTACGTCGAATAATGATCGGGGGTAATGACCCGGTCATTATTCGATGGGGGTCATTATTCGTCTTTACACCGGCATGAATAAGACATAAAAAGCAATGATCCTGATATATTTAAGTCATAATTATTGAAAAATTAAGTAAAATATGATATATTCGTTTATCATGCACCTCTCATAACATGTACATGCGATGGTCAATGAAATAATCCTGTGTTATATATGAACTAACTAGTATGGTCCCTATTATATAATAAAAGTAAATCCTAACCACTCATTTAGGTTAAGGAGGTCAAGCTACCATGTTGAGTTAAAAACGATAATTATATTAGTTTAACTGTACAACAATTTAGATCTACAACTCCATCCTTCCAGGATTTTAATTTTATTGATAGAAAGCGACTCTATTTTGTATAAAAATTGAAATACCAGTTTTACAAGTGTTTATGCAGGGTGTTCTAATGGGTAATCTTATTATAGAAGATTTTTTATTACATTTTATTTTTCTTACCAATTACCATGACTCATTAAGATGACAAATATTGCTCCCCCCCCATGTTTTTCAGACAAAACCTTTATACTGTAGAAATGATCATTGAAACCACCAACACTTTCCGTCTGTTGACAAACTTAAAATGATTAAATAAATTTGTATTCATTAAGGAGGGATTAAAAATGTATAAAATATATCGTTTTTGAAAATTTTATATATTTTATATGGTTTAATATAAAATAATATTTTCCGTTTTAAATTCCGCTTTCCGTTCCGTTTTCCGTTCCGCGTTTTAGCAACACCCTTTTGAAAGAGGCACCATTGCTTATTACCGTCTTCCTTGGAAGACGGTATTGTATAGTTGAAGTTTTTTACAGTCTTCGGACTATGCACTTCCTCTCTTTTGTGATTGGTAGAAATTGCATGATGAGAAAATTTTCAATTATTTCATTGGTTGAAATGCTGTTCAAGGCAAGGGAGATAACTTTCTGATGCTCTATTTTTCGTACGACTTAACAATTTTGCAAGATTTCCAATCTTAAAAAAATGACAAAACGAACAACAAAATCAGCAGTAATTATTTCTCAATAACATGATATTTTTTATAGCAATAAATAAAAAAGTCTCTTTAATTTCATTATAAATAAAATTTGATAGTTATTGATTGCAGGCTTTACAATTTGTTATTATTCTTTTCCCCTGTCTTGTTTGAAGAGAGAATGGGAATCAACCGAGTTTTGCCGAAAGTCTCGGTCAGTTTACGGAGATTACCGAGCGACAACCGAAGTAGGGTTAATACCAGTAAAAAGCTAATGTACGTAGAAATAAGAAATCAAGAAATTCAAAAGAATTATACGGCCTGATAAGTGTAGATCTGTTTACTATTTAAAATTTTGCTAAAGACGGTAAGCTTTTTTAAAAAGCTCTACTTGTCATAACTATACACTTAGCTTGCTTAAGCTTACTTTGGTTACTTTATACTTAGATGTAAATCAGAGTAACACTTTATATCCAGTTGGGCACCCCACCCTAACGGGAAGAAGTGACCCTTGTCACCCTAAAGGCACATATATATTTCAAAATTCTGAAAATTTTGTATATTTTATTTCATCATAAATGATTGATTAATACCAGAGAGCAGATTTCAAAGCATTATTTATTTTCAGAATATGTAACCCGGCCCACTCCCCACCCCCAGGTATCCAAGTCACAGGGGTCATGAAATGAACCATTTTGGAAGAGTCACCTTTCATCATCATTAATATGTACCAGGCGCGGATCCAGGAATTGCAGTTAGATGGGGCACCAAAAGTAGGCAAGGGGTCTGGGGGCTGCCTTGAGGCCCCCAGTGGGCCCAGGTAGCCAGCCCCCGGAAGCTCCTGGATTCTAGAGATTTTGTAGGGTAAAAATGAGGTCTATCAAGTATACATATTAACATTTTCTAGACGAAACTGTGATTTACGTTAACTTTGACAATTTTAGGGGGGGGGGGGGGGTGGGCGCCGGGTGCGCCCCCCCTTCAATCTGCCACTGTGTATTTAGATCATTGGCATAATACCAAGAAGCAAAGAAAAATATTTTTAAAGAATTCATATATTTTCACTACATATAATCATTAGAGCCCCGCCCTAACACAAAAACGCCTGTCCCTGAGGCCCTGAAATTCACAATTTAGGAAGTCACAGGGGTCATGAAATGAACCATTTAGGAAGAGTCACCTTTCATTACAATTAATATGTACTTAGATCATTGGCATATTACCCAGGAGCAAAAGAAAAGATTTTCAAAGAATTCATGTGTTTTTCACTATATAATCATTAGAGCCACAGCCTTACACCAAAACGCCTGACCCAGGGGTCATGAAATTCACAATTTCGGAAGAGGCAACCTTCCTCATCATAACTATTCACATAGATCACTGGTTTAATATCCAGGAGCAGAGAAGATTAATTGTATTTTCATTATATAATCAATACAGTCCAACCCTATCACCAGAACCTTAAAGAGTGCATTATTTTAGTGGTTTTGGCCCCATCCCTCAGGCCCCAGGCGGCAGAGACCATGAAATTCACAATTTTTTGTTCCCCTTCACCTATAGATGCTTAATGCAAAATTGGCTGAGTGGTTGCAGAGAAGAAGCTGAAAATGTTCAAATGTTAAAGCACAAAGTACGATGACGAACGAAAACAGATAGCAATAGATCACCTGAGTACTCAGGTGACCTAAAAATGCTTACCCTTATCATGTGCTGATTATATACAATTCTAGCATTTTATAACACCTAAAAAAGTAGCAATTACTTTGACTTTTTGCCTCAGAATTTATGTATTTTTTAGCAATTTGACGTAATGTATATAATACTGTTCACTGAAAATAAAATTTTGTTTTATAGATCTTAAAGAAATCCCTAGTTCTGGTTTTAGCATTGAAAGATCAATATTAGCTTTTAATTGTTTTATATGTTTATTTTATTATTTTTTTTTTTGTATTTTTTTTTTTCAGATAAAATGAAAATTATTTATTTGCATTTCAAAAAGATGCTTTAGAGTTAGAAATTTGCTTTTAGTAAAAATTAATGCATCATTTGAATTTCTAACAAAAAAATGTTTGTAAAACACTTATCCCCCCACCTCTCCAAAGTAGTTGGAATTTTTTGATTTTTTTTTGAAGTCCAAGGGCATATATAGCTCTATCCGAAAAACACCGATCTTACCCAAAACAGATCTTGATCTAGATGTTCATATGATTAATCTGTATATTAAATTTCATTTCAATATGCGCAACCACTGCGAAGAAAAAGATCAGAAACTGATGCTGGACCGACAGACCGACCAATAGCATCAAATCGATTTGACCTTCTTTGTACGAAAGGGACATAATAAATTATGCAAATTAAAGAAACGCCAAATAGACTTTTACAATCTACGTACTCTACCCCAGAGTTTTTCCAGATAAGTTTGAGCATTTCTGGTCATGTGCTTCTTGAGAGGAAGATTTTTAAAGATTTTTCTTATATACCGGTATTTCAATTTGAAAATTGGATTCCCTATCGAGACCCTGTCCTACCATGGGGTAAATGATTTTAGAATATTAAAATCTACACTACCTATGAATGCAGTTTTCAGCTTTCCTGACCAAGTGGTTCTTGAATGAAGATTTTTTCAATGACCCCATCCTATTTTTGTCTTTTCTTGATTATATTCCCTTGTAAGGAGACCTTGCACTTTCTTTAATCAACTCAAACTCCCCCGCATACATGGATACTTTGTACCAAGTTTGGTTAAAATTCGCACTGGGGTTCTTGAGAGGTTGAAAATGTTAAAAGTTTACAGACGGACAACGGGCAATCGGAGTTTTCATCTCTCAAGTAAGCTAGAAATAAAAATGTCTATCCAGCCTTTAATTTTTCCTTATATTTTATTAAACTATGAATTACTATGAATTTTAGTTCCATACACTTGTACTTTATTTCTTTGAAATTCTACAATTATCGGATATTATTTTTTCAAAAATATGCTATATATACTATATATATTTTTTCAAACATTACATTTCAGGTACATGCATGTAAATTAAGAAATTGATTTAAGCATAAAATTTATCGATCACCAGTATATCTTCTCGGATGCTTTTTTATAGAATCTAAAAAGGGAAAGCCTTCCAATACATTACATTTTCAAGGTACGATTGCTTTGTCTGATTTGATCACGTGTGTGATTTGATCATGTGTGTGATTTCATCACGTGTGTGCCGTCTAACACTATTCACTTCTATCATGTTTTTGTGTTTTCGTAAAAGTATGTGTCCTCCTGTGTCTGTTCAGTATACATTGGTAAAATATTTGAGAATGCCATCTCACACACATTCATGATGATTGATCCAGGTCTCCTCAACTATCAAATGTTATGAGCAGTTACTAGTATTAGTTTTTTTTTTCATCTGTAAAATTTTTGACCTCTCGTGTTTCTGTACAGCATATATTTGGTAAAATCTTTTTTTTTGTTTACACACATCACATTTTTGAGTTCATTTTACCATTATGTCTTCTCATCATGTGTCCCTTTAAGGAATATGATTGGCTGCTGAATGTCTTTCCACAAATATTACATTTATAAGGGTTTTCCCCTGTATGTATCCTAATGTGAAGTTTCAATGACGATGGTCGGGTAAATGCCTTCTTACATACAACACATTTATGACGTTTTTCACCAGTGTGTGATGTTTTGTGATACTTTAAATCATTTGAAATGATAAATGCCTTCCCACACACATCACATTTATATGGTCTTTCACCAGTATGTGTCCGCTTGTGTACCTTTGATTTGATTTGAACATATTTTATTATGTAAAATACATAATTGGATTGGGCAGCAGGCATAGCCTATATGAGCCCTCTCCAAAGGTACAAGGTTAATTAATACACATATAGTAACAGGTTTATATATGACCAATAAGTTGTATACAGACACAAATTTAAATAGAACATAGGGGAAAGAAAGATACATGAGTAAAGATAGAAAAGGAAAAAAAAACAACATATGAATACCGGTTTATAAATGTGGAAATGAATTGAATCGAAAAAATGAGAACTACAGCAATTTATAAACATACAATGAATGTGTATTTAACTTAGAACATTAACTGGAATAAGTATTACATAGTTGTGTACCTTTAAGATAGACAATATTGTAAAAGATTTACCACACACATCACATTTATATGGTCTTTCACCAGTATGTGTCCTTTTGTGGTTGTGTAAGTTATGTGAGTGTGTGTATGACTTTCCACACAAACTACACAGAAAAGGTCCTTTATTTGTCTTTTTCTGTCCTGGAAGGTTGAATATTTTCCTACACACTTCACAATTATAGGGTTTCTTACATATATGGGCCCCTGTATTTGCAGGCAATGTGGATTTTACACTGCAGGCTTTCTTACACACATTACATGTGTACAGTTTCTCTGTTGTGTGTATGCTCATGTGTCTTTCCAGACAGGCGGCCATCTTTCCACATACTTCGCACAGAGAGGATCTTCTTTAAATAGAAATTCTTACTGGTTTATCAGTCTGCCCACTTTGGTAATTGACCATCCTGCATATATCAACAAATGGATTTTTACATTTACGTTTTTTCAAAATCTCCTCGCATATCTGTCTCTTCATGTGCTTCTGTAAATATTTTGGGTTTCCAAAGGACTTTCCACACTTATCACAATTAACTTTGGTTACAGGACTCTTAACTTTGTCTTCATATGTCCCTTCAAATGCAGTATTTCACTGAATGCTTTTCCACATGTGTCACATTTATGAGATTTTTCACTTGCATGCACCCTCCTGTGTAACTGTAAAGATCTTGATTTTTTAAAAATCTTCCCACAAACATCACATTGGTGTAAGGCCTTTTCCAGAGTAGTGTTATTTGGACTCTCCATGTGATCTGACTCAATTGCAAGTTTCATTATTCTATGAAAGTTTTTTTTTCAATTCTAAGTGACCTTGGATCTTCTAAAGAGTCATGTGCTTAATTATAAAGCCTTTGTTGATCACTTTTGTGCCTCCATAAATGTACCTTTAATTCTGATTTTTTTTCTGATTTTCCGCTGACAAATATAATATGCATAATTCTGTCACCAGTTTGTGTCTTCATATGCCTATTGTTCTTCTCATCATTCTTTTTTCTGTCATTCTGTCCATATAGTTGTTCAACTTTTCTTTATTGCTTCTAATGTGTGATGTTGATGCTAAAGCAGTCCCAATCACCTGTAAAGATAAAAAAAAACAAAATGGCTTCTTTAATTTAATCTTTATCTAGAAACATATTTCATGATTTTTATGTAGATGACGATTGTTTGACATTTACATGTAAATGATCCAGCAATGTGTAGAATATCATCTTTGAAGCTTGAGGTAATAAGCACCACCCTAAAGTTTATCTGGTGATAACCCCTACCAATCAAGTGAAATAAAAACTCTTATTAGGTGTTTGAAATTAATTGATATTTATCAACCTGTCCCTGTGTTTAACTTGGGATTCGAAATTCACAGAGGGATTTGCTAAGCAAATGTAAACAATTCTGCGAAAATTAAAATCAAAATGTCCTGACAATGTCTGCAATTTGTTCAATTGAATACAGAGGAATCACCCCCGGTAGATAATTTAATTGAGGAGAAAATACTGATATTTCAGCATACTGAAAACATTTTGTCATGAAACAGGACAGATATTTCGGATTTACTCAAGTTGAAAGTACATGTGTACATAGTGTTCAATTAATATGTTCGATAATTTACTTGGATTCATTATTTAAAATGTTATATACCATACATTACATGACTTAATTCTGGGGCACCAATACCATAAAATTTGCCCCTCGTTGACAGGAAAGCCCATGAGAATTATTTCGCCCTCTGCTTTTGGGCTGATGTACCATATTCCCATTACATTTAGTTATCATACTTATTTTTTATGGCTTCGAGGGCAGCATAGAATATTTGCCCAAGGCTTTCCAGTCATCTTGGGGCAAATATTCTGGTATGCTGCCCTAGAAGTCATGTAATACATGTATAATACGAAATCACACAATAGACCGAATAGAGACCGTTTCATGGTAACTGCCGTAGTGCTCTTTTGCAGGGCAAAATGATATAGTTTGGTGAAATAATTATATGATCAAAAGTGATTGTTTAATATACGTCACTTAATTATTTGTCAATAAAAACTTCGCCAAACGTTATAGTTTTGCCCTGCCAAAATGTAGTACCGCTATGGACACTGGAAGTTTATGTAAATATACAGTACGTTCATGTATAAACAAAGCTATGCACAAACTATATATTTACATTAATTTCCAGTGCTCTTGTAGCTTATTGATAAAACTGCCAACACCTGCAATCTAGCATACCTGATTTTTCAGTACATCGGTACATTTTGCATTTGACAAAGAAAGAAAAAAAACCCAAAAATTTCCAATTCTGTGATTTGTTAAAACAGGTATCGGAAGATTCTAAAGGAAACCTAGGATATATACCTTGTTCAGTCTGTGCAAAGGGGGGGGGGGGCAAAGGTGTGTGTAGTTTTGGAATGTAAACAAAATGGAATGTCGATCCCGATATAAATGTACATGTTTACCAGAATGCGTCGATTTACTCAAAAGAACCCTAAATAATTCAAAAGGAAATTATTTTATGTTAACATAAATGTTGGCAAAATACATATTATATTGTTTCAACTTTTCTTTGAGAAATAATTATACTCCTTTTATTGAAGCATCTTGTGAGCTCTGCTTTGTTTAATTTTAGCTGAAAATAACAAAGTATTGTTATATTTCTCCCTCTATTCTACCCTATCTTACTATATGATATCTAATGAAAATATAAGTTTAATTTGATGACTTATTCTAGGCATCCGGTAGGGTGGGGTGGTGGACACACACTTTCCCTCCAAATTAAATAGTTTTATTTTTAATAAATATGAAAGTGTTCATTCAATATCCACTTATTCTCTTTATTTCTAGTCCTTTTGTTTTGCTTTTAATTTCCTTTTGGGTCCTATTGAATGAATCGATGCACCGCATGAAACAGGGACCCCATCGGTCTATCTATGTACATTTGATTTTAAAAAATGAAATAAATAAAGGTACATGTATCAAAAAATAATAAATAAAACACTAGTTTTGTAAGATATTGTGTGCAAAATATATACCTTCAATAATAATAATAAAAAAAAGATTCCTACATTGTACAACATTTAAACAAAAATAATTTCATACCGGTATTCATTGGCAAAGTAGAAAGAAAATAATATTATATTAATTAATTAAAGTGTTATCTGTGTTAAATTCGAATTTTGGTTTTGGTTGTAAGGTCTTTAAAAAGATTATGATTATTGCAATCAAGTTGAATCAACCAATCATTACAATCAATGAACTAGCAAATAAAAAAAATTATACACTGTACTGTACTTTCCTTCAAACTCTTCAACTTTTCAACTTAAAGATAATCTTCAAGGCAAAATAAATATGATAAAGTTGATTGATATATCAAAAATATTTTTTTTGTATATATTATATTAACACGGTAGACAAACTGCGCAGCGTAGTTGACATTTTACACTTTGCATAGGTGTAAAAACTCCTGTAAAGTATATAAAGGCATCGATCTTTGAATCTTTAATTAGTATTACATGCTGCATAGAGTGGCTATAATTATTACGTTGTATTGTATAAATGTGTGTTGAATGAATATTATACAGTCAATTGATTCGTTAATACGGACGCCTGTAAAACTCCCACACACCTCTTCCTAAGGGTCATCCTTTGATAGAGTAGAGTGCGGGGATCTAGAAGGGAGGGGATAGATTTATTAAGTGTATCGTATATAAAAACAACGAAAAGTAATATTGGAACACCCTTGCAAAAAAAAAAAAAAAAAAAAAAAACACCTGACGGTGACCCCTTTTTAAGTATGGACTCTATGTATGTCTTTCGTTGAAAATTTAATGGTATCAAGATGTTTCACCTAGCGAGACTTAGATAAAGGTTTCTTTAACAAACCATGCCAGGTCCGCATCAACTGTTTTTAAAGGGGGTATTCCCCCTACCCCTCCCACAAAAAACATTACGAAAAAAAACATATTCCCTTTAATTATCTCATTTACTCTACTTCTTTCCATCTTTGACCCATTTATGCCCGTTCCTATCCCTTCCAATCAATCTTTCACTCTCCATTCCTCATTTCCCTTATACAACTAATCTCCTTGCTTCCCACATCTGCCCTCCTCCCTCCCTGCCCAACTCACTTCTCTTATAGCGGCTGTTTTTCCCATTCCTCCCTCTCTTCCCTCCCCCTTCCCCATTCCCCCGTTCACGTCCATTTTATCCTTTTTTCCTCTGCTATATCCCGTCCCACTCAATTATGCCCATTCTACATGTACCCTCCCATGTCGTTCTTATCCCATTTCATTTCACCGCTCCAACTTTCAATCAGCCATCTTTTTCATGGCCTCCCTTTCCCTTCCCCTCCACATCCTATCGATCTCTCTCCTTTCTCCTGATAATCCATTTTCCCCAATCCTATCATGGAAGCATTATTTTGTATTTTATTTTTGTTCTGTTATAAAGATTACGTGCTTGAAATGATTGTGAAATTCTATTTTAATTATTTGCTTGTATGAGCTAAATGTTTTGTAAATAATTTATATGTATTGTACCTGTTTATACTGTATTTATTTATTTGCGCCGTACTGTTGTTATTACGTATTGTGTTTGATGTGGACATTGCACTTGTAGTTGTAAATGAATTAATCAAGAAATAAACATAATTTTAAGATAAGAGTGGTGTCATAGACAATATTAGCTCTGAAGACATAATCGAAGACGCCGACTTTTGACCGCCGTCTTGATTATTTTTCTCACTTTCTTTCATTTATCCTGAATACTTCTAATACTCAGACAGGCTAGGGTATTTTAGTCATTTGACAAGACGGTATTTGCTGCAATATCAATTAAACTAGTACTAATATATATAGTAATATATATAGTTGTGAAAAATTAGAAAGGATCCATATTGTAAAAGACATCAACTAAATGGAACTCTACAAGACTTTTATACGGGGATATTTACATTACACACGTATTTTACTAATAAAGTTTGTTGAAAACTGTGGCCCTCAAAACGCAATAAAATGCAAAGAGGGTCAAAAAATTAAAATATGCATTTTATTTTGTCGTCACAGGCGAAAATCAAAATTCACGCACACATTGAACAGAAGCTGTTGGTAAATGCTCTCCCATTTATTACAACTTACCCGATGGATACTAGTAATACAGAGATCTGATTGATCAGAAGGACTAGTACCTTGTTTATCTGTGTATTTATAGCAATTTACGGTAATTCCTCTTCCCTCATTATTTGGAGATCGTCCTAACCTATTATATGACTAACCATGGCTTTGCTGTTTTTACCATAATACGTTGAACTTCGCTTTAATACTACCATGCAAAGATATCGGTTTCCTATTTAAGCCCAACACCACCCTCATCATTATGATCCTGATGTGAACAAACTTGAATCTTCAATACCTGAGGATGCTTTGATACTTATCACGGATTTTATCAGATTTAATCAAGCAGATTTTTATTATAATCCCTCTCAACAACAGGGCGTGGCTCTTCAATGGCACAAACTTGAATTACACGCAGACAGACGAATCTACAGGCAGTAACAAACAGATAAAATCTGTTCAGAAAAGCTCATTTAAAGTTTAACACAAATTGTTAAAGAAATAACGGTTATATTTGATCGCCATATTAATTCAATCTCCTGTAATATGTACTCCTCCAGCCCTTACATAGCCTGGAGTTTTAATCACGATACAATGTATTTTGCTTCATAGAGATTACCCGAACAGATTTCCTTTTCATTGTCATTATGCAGGGGATGCTATCTCTTCCATGGCGCCTGATCCAAACTCTGATGTCTTTGTCCATATTTGCCCTGCTCTCAGTTTGTATTGCTTACATTGATATTGAGCTTGAAAATTGTTCGTTATCTTCATATTTTATGCTAGACTTGGGCTATATAACAGTGTAGAAGTGAACATATATAGAGAGGAGGACGGACAGACAGACGAACTGACTAATGTTAGGAACTTCACTAAATAACAGATCAGCTAAGCTAACAATATCTCTCTTCTACAGTTTTATTTGTAAAAGCTCAATTAAAAAACAGAACATCAAACTAAATAAAAAATATGACTGTAAAATTAAATTTACCCATAAAAGAAGATCAGCATAAACAAAACACAAATTTTAAATATTTTGATTCTGATTCACTTGGTCAGAAATCAATGTAAAACAAGAGGCCCTTGGGCCACATCGCTTACCTGAGCATTGTGGCTAGGAAAAAAGCAGAAATATGTTTATTATTGGAAACTTCACAAAAGTGGTCCCAATCATTCTTAAATGGGAGAGGGTATGATTTAATTAAACTTGAATCTACACAAACTAAGGATACTTGCATATTTATTTGAATTCCTGCGGCTTTATTGCTTCTTAAACTTGAAGTAACATTGCTGCTCACCGCCCCCACCCCCCACCCCCCCCTTCCCAACTAAATATTAATCATACCTTTGCTGTCCTTGAAATATTCCCTTGACCGTTGTTGCGCCGCTCCATCTATCCAAAGGGGTCATGATTTGAACAAACCTGAATGTACACTTACTGAGGATTCCTCTATATATATATATATATTATCAATCTTGATTGATTGATTGATTGTATATTGTTTAACGTCCCTCTTGAGAATTTTTCACTCATATGGAGACGTCACCGTATGCCGGTGAAGGGCTTCAAATTTAGACCTATACTCGGCACTCAGGGCCATTGAGCAGTGAGGGTTCTTTATCGTGCCAGCGCCTACCGTGACACGGGACCTACGTTTTTAAGGTCATATCCGAAAGACCAGTGACTTTCACTTCTAGTGCCAAGCGCTTGGCGAAGGAACAGTCACTACCTTTGTTTACGTCTTAGGTATGACGCGGTGCCGCGAACGAGAATCGAACCCGGGCCTCCCGATCACGAAGCAAACGCTTTACCACTAGGCTACCGTGACCGGTGGATGATCAATCTTGAGAACATTTTAATGAATTTACTAGCTACTTCCATGTTAAATTTTGATCGGCCATTGTTCCCCCTTCCTAAATCCAGAGATCATTATTTAAACAAATTTGAATCAACACTACCTGAGGATGTTTCCTTATAAGTTTCATCTTTCCTGAACAAGTGGTTTTTGAGGAAAGTTTTAAAAGATGCCATTAATTTTCCACTAATTTTCATTTATATCCCCTTGGCAAAGGGTGTTGCCCTTCAATTTAGCAAATTTGAATCCCCTTCACCCAAGGACAGTTTGTGGCAACTTTGGTTGAAAATGGTCCCGTGGGTCTTGAAAAGAAGTCGAAAATGTGAAAAGCTAACAGACAGACGGACAGACAGACGGCGTACAAAATGTGATCAGAAAAGCTCACTTGAGCCTCCGGCTTAGGTGGGCTTATATATGCATAACAATGTTACAGTTTCAAAATGTCTGAGACATAAAATAAAATTACTAGTATGTATTTTGGTATTTTCAATGCGAAACGTTGTTTGCTTGTGTACTTTAAAGTTGATCATGCATATTTACCACCATACTTTAAAATATCACAATAATATTGAATGCTGTTTGTCAGTGCACTTAACAGTTTTTAAAACATTTCGACATTGATATAAAATATGGCTATATGCTTACAGATAAATCTATCTTTGAAAGAATCTATCTTTGTCTACATACTGAAAACTCTATACATATTTATTTTAAGTTCATTCAAAAACTCTTACAAAATTTTTACTCCTTAATCATAGTATTAAAATTAAAACATTTCCATTTCTGTAGGCAATTTGTTTACTGTATGCCTTTATAATTCCCATTTTATTTTAATTATCTCTTATATGCGTCTGAATTTGTCTCTGTCAGAAAAAAAGTTAAATACATTTCCACACACACTCTACAATTGTATAATTCATCATCTATACGAGTCTTCCCGTGTTTCTTTAAGTTACACGTATATATATAATCTTTTTGAAAGCCCTTCCGCATACTTTACATTTGTAAAGTTCTTTTCCCTGTGTGTACCTGCAAGTGTCTCTAACTTGTCTGACGCTTCTCTCAAACCCTACATCTATAGGGATTATCATCTGTATGTGTCCTCATGTGTCTCGTTAAATAACCGAAATCGGAGAATTCCTTCCCATAATACACATCACACTTAAAAGGCTTTTCACCAGTATGCATCCTAAAGTTTTAAGTGTGTCTGAAAGCGACCTGATTGATTGAAGGCTTTCCCACAATCATCGCATTAATCAAGTTTTCGAACAGAATGAATTCATTTGTGTTTCTGTAAGTTATCTAATCGGGTAAAAGTCTTTCCATGTACATTGCATTTAAAAGGTTTTTCACCTGTGTGTTCCTTCATGTGACTCTTTAAGCGTTTAAGTGTTTTTGTAAGTCTCCTAATCGGATATATGCCTTTTTCTAAAAACATCACATTTATGAAGTTTATCACCCGTACATGTATGAATCTGGGTGTGCTTTTTTAATCTACCTAAAAAGATTTTCCACACGCATCACATTTATGAGGTTTATCAACATGATCATCTGGATGTGTTTTTATGTGATTTTGTATGTTACAAAATGTTGCATGCCTTTCCACACAGATCACCTTCACTGCCGAGTATCCTCATGTGTGACTGTATGTTACTTTATTGGTCACATGGCTGTCTACACACAGGATGTGCATAAGGTTTGTAACCTGTATGTGTCCTCCTGTGTTTCTTTAAGCCACCTGACTGTTTGAATGCCTTTCCGCATACTTCACATTTATAAGGGTTTTCACCTGTGTGTATCCTCATGTGTCTCTGTAAGTGACTTGAGCATTTGAATGCCTTTCCACATACATCACATGTATATGGTTTTTCACCTGTATGTGTCCTCATGTGTTCGTTTAAGTCACTTGACTGGCTGAAAGCCTTTCTACAAACATCACATTTATATGGTTTTTCACCTGTGTGTATCCTCATGTGTGACTTTAAGGTAAATTTTCGGTTGAATGTCTTCCCACATAAGTCACATTTATAAGGCTTACCACCTGTATGTATCATCATGTGTTGCTTTAAATAACGGCAGTCAGTAAAAGCCTTGCTACATACATCGCACTTAAAAGTTTTTTCACCTGTATATGTCCTCATGTGTTTTTTTAAGTCACCTGACTGTTTGAATGCCATTCCACATACTTCACATATATAAGGTTTATCACCGGTGTGTATCCTCATGTGTCTCTGTAAGTGACTTGAGCGATTAAATGCATTTCCACAAACATCACATTTATAAGGGTTATCACCTGTGTGTGTCCTCATGTGTTTCTTTAAGTCACTTGAAAGGTTAAAAGCCTTTCCACAAATATCACATTTATAAGGTTTGTCATCTGTATGTATCCTAATGTGTGACTTAAAGTTAAATTTTCTTTTGAATGCCTTCCCACATAAGTCACATTTATAAGGTTTGTCATCTGTATGTACCATCATGTGTTGTTTTAAATAACGACAGTCAATAAAAGCCTTCCCACATACATCACATTTAAAAGGTTTTTCACCAGTATGTGTCCTCATGTGTGTCTGCAAGTAATCTGATCGATTTAATGTTTTCCCACATACATCACATATAAAGGCTGTTCGATCTTTATGTGACCCCTTATGTCTCTGAAAATTACCTGAATGGTTAAATGTTTTTCCACACACATCACATTTATAAGGTTTTTCACCAGTATGTATTATTTTGTGTCTCTGAAAATATCTGGACTGCTGAAATGTCTTTCCACTCAGATCACCTTCAGTGCTGTGTACCCTCATGTGTGTCTGTAAGTTACTTGATCTCTTACATGTCTTTCCACACACAGGACATGTAAACGATTTGTCACCTGTGTGTGTCCTCGTGTGTTTCTTTAAGTCTTTTGACTGTTTGAATGCCTTTCCGCATACTTCACATTTATAAGGTTTATCACCTGTATGTGTCCTCATGTGTCTCTGTAAGGAACCTGACTGTTTGAATGCATCTCCACAAACATTACATTTATAAGGTTTATCACCTGAATGTGTCCTTATGTGTCTCTGTAAGGAACCTGACTGTTTGAATGCATTTCCACAAACATCACATTTATAAGGTTTATCACCTGTATGTGTCCTCATGTGTTTCTTTAAGTCACTTGAATGGCTAAAAGCCTTTCCACAAACATCACATTTGTAAGGTTTATCACCTGTATGTGTCCTCATGTGTGCCTGTAAGTTACCTGACTGTTTGAATGCCTGTTTGAAATTTTTCCTGCAGATGTTACATTGATGGGTATCGATGTGTCTTTCTAAATCCTTTGATTGACTGTTAAAAGGAATATTTTTTTCAGCATCATTCCAAATAATGGTTGAAAAAGTTGTCTTTTCCCCCTGTAAAGTTGATCAAAATGCAATATCAAAGTACTTGTTTAACAAGAGGCCATATGGCCTAGAATTGGTCTTCTGAATAAGGTAAAACCCTATTGTTTCTATTTTAAGGTTCTTAGTTTCTAAATATTATATATATATATATTAGGTAAATCAACATGATCAATTATTAATAAGTTCAAAAAGTAGGTTATCCTAACCGAACGCAATTTGAAATACCCAGATGCATCAACAGAAAAAGTGTTAAGCCCTTTATTTCTTTTTTAAATATACTCAGGCATAGTTATACAATTCCAAAAGTAGGACACCCTGACCTACTATTTGGATTACAATGCAAGACCTAAATGAGTAAACTAATAAAAGCATCCAATGTTTAGCCTTCTATTATCCTGCAATAGAAATATTGATGAAAGTGTGCAACTCAATAAATAGGTCACATTCACCTAGTTAATGGTTCACTTGAAAGATTCCAAGTTCCCAAGATGTAAAACTAAAATATCTTATTGATTCTGAGCCTCTTGTTATTTGAAATATTTAAATACATGTATGCACTGTCACAGGGGGAATAAATTATTCTAATAAATGTCATATATGTTTGAATTTTTAAAGTCCAAATCTACTAATAATCATTACATTATCTTCATCTTATTTGCATCTTTACGTCATGGTGAATTACAGTCCTCTGGAATTTACTGTGTTCATTCATAAAGTATCTCATTTATATTCACAGTCTTGAATGCTTGATTGCAATTGGTTAATTTAAGAGTGTGAAAAGTCAAAAGTTTCTGTGATGCTTGGAGATATATGATTATGTGATATCTTATAGAGTGAAGAGGGTTTGAGTGGTTCTACTTGTTTGGTATAAGATGCTCTTGCTTAATGGTGCCAAATACCCTAAATCACTCACTCTTGCCTAGAACATACAGCAAGGCAGAATTCTTCTTCTCAAATAAGTCTTTCATTCAAAATTAATGACTGTTTATTCCAGTAAGAACTTTTATCATCAGTGCTTAAAATAAATCAAATATCTAATCTTATCAATTAGTTATCTACTTAATGATAACTAACATCAGAAAAGTTTGTGTTCTAAAATAATTGAATGTGCGAGTGTATTAAGGTACATGGATGATAGTGTATTTATTAATTTTCATAACTGTTACCGTAAACACCTTCGATTCAGGTAAAACCTTTTTAGGGTCAGAAGGCATGTTATGTAGATTTGTGGAACGAACGTCATTTTGCATGCATGTGCTTGAAAGTGTGCACAGGTGCAACACATGAAATGACCAAAATAATAGATATAGCCGTACCTTTTAAATTTTTGGATGAAATGCATTGAAACTCATAATATAAGGGTATATTAGTAATATATAGACAAGATGACATGGTCACAATGGCAAGATCTCAAGCACACACGTAGTGGTCATTCACAAAATTTTGAAACCTAAAAATTAATCAACAGTAATTTGATCCAGATTAACAAAATAAAATCAACACAAAAATTTCCAGATTTACAGTATTGATCCTCTGCATATCTAGACATGGTAAGAACATGCCATGATAATCTTTCATATGCATGCCCCCATTGCACAATATTTGCACATACGTGCATGCAATATTGTATACGACATAATTATAGTTGATTCATTGTAGCTTTTATTTAATTTTTTTATGAAATCCTCCTCCTGAGCATATGAAAAGTCTTCAGGAAAAAAAGCACTAATGGGGTTTTTAAGAGCGTTTGTGGAATATCTGTAACAGTCCCCGTTACAATTAATACCAGTTTATGTTACTTTTGATTGTCTATTTAACCAGATTTTTTATATGAAATCTGAAGGCTAAGGAAAAGTATCAAGATCATTTATATAGATGGATCATGTGATTACTTACTGATTAGAGCTTCAACCCTTCAGAATTTTTAGAATCAATTTACCTCCAACATTTCCTATAGATAGTTTTCCATGGGCTTAAATTTAGCAAAAGTTACCTCCCGTTAATCGCCATATTGACTCAGTGAGTTTTCCTCTTTGTCTTAGGCCGGAATTAAAAATATCTTTGTTTCCCCTAACCCGACCCTAAATTCTCAAGTTGGGCCGGTAGGTAGGCAAACAATTTTATTTTCTGATAGCAGCTTTGAAATTCATTGTAAAATTTAATGGAAAGTTACATTTATAAACAAGAAATGTACAAAACAAATTAATTTGTGAACAAAATGCTAAGTACTAGTATCATGCATATGCCTTTTAAAAGCAAAATTCATGATTAATTCACAACTGTAATTTAGTTGAACCTGTGAAATATCTCACGCCATAGTACTTTTATATAAGTCGAATAAAAGAGACAAGATTCTCAACTACACAAAGACTGGACATCAGAGTATATTTTTTCAAACCTTTAATCAGCCTCCAGTGCTTATATACAATCAATGTACCTTTTTGAGGGCTGTGAGATTTGCAGTGATTCAAGAGCATTTTGCTTTGGAGTTAAGACGTAAATGGCTAATTTTAAGTCGCGGGTTAAAATACCAATGAGGAAGGTTGAAAACGGTCCCTCAAAATTAAGGGACCATAAGTGTCCAGTGTCGCAAAAGATGCTGGCTGAAAAAAAGATCCCCCACTGCTTAATGGCAAAAAAAAAAGAGCGTAGTACGTCTAAATTTGGAGCAATGCATATGGGGAAGTGTTCAAATGTAGTCCCAACAAATTTCGAAGGGGTTATAAGCAAAGAAACAGCCAATCTTCAAGGGCCTAATTAAAGAAAAATACACCGGACGTCGAAGGAAGCTGAATTGAAATGATTTCAAAACTTTTGGAAAGAGTATGTAAACAACAATATTTAAATGAAACAAACCGAATATTGAGACATATTTACATTGATTGTATCCTATGATTCCATAATGGCATTTAGTAAACACAGGAACATAGATGAATTGGTAATTAGATCAAAACTCAAATTGAATAAAATGAAGTGAAATTGAATGTTGTGTTCAATAGGTGGTACCCTCATCTGAATTCAACAGACAGAATTGTTTGTTCCTTGTTTACCCTCCCTTTCGAAAATTTATTTATTCACATGGAGACGCCAAGACACCGAAACACTCTAAATTAGTCATTGTAAATTTTATTTTCAAATTGTTTCAAGAGTGAAGAATTCTTGTTAACTAAAGGCACAAGATTGAGGCGTCGCCGTTGTTTTATGAAGAACTAATTCTCGCCATTTTATTTCCAACAAATACTTGAAAATCACGGTAGAACAATGTTTGCCATTCTCTTAAAATCTGATTTTGATAGAATTGTATTTTATAAAACTTGGTTGACAATAAAAACAATTTTTAAATCATCTTATTTGAAAAATCTTTTCAGTCCGCGCGATTTCATTAGATGGGTCGCGTTAGGGGAAACAAAAGTAATTTTTATTTTGGCCTTACCAAGTTTAAGAAAATAAAGCAGAAATATTTATTGGAAAATCTTTATCAAATAATTTTTTTTAAATAAATGAGGCATTTAAAAATTTATTTTTTCTTCAGAAAAATATTGATTCCTAATTCAAAATCGACAATATAAAAATTTAGAATTGGTTGAACAATGAAAGAATATAAGCAAAAGGACCTCCAGTATGGCAGCCAATGGGAAGTAACTCTCGTTAAATTTAGGTCAATTGAAAACTATCTATAGAGCTTCAACCCTTCAGAATCTTTTGAATTAATTTACCTCCACTATTTCCTTCTGTTGATTTTCTTCCATAGCGTCAGAATCCCCCAATGCCCGCTTCTTTCCTACAATTAAAACATGGAGTCTGTATTATAAAGTCTGGGAGTTCAACAACATTACCAAAAACAGAATATGGTAAAACTCTATTATTTCCATTTAAAGGTTCTTAGTATCTAAATATTATATAAGGAAAATAATCAAAATCATTTATGTAGATGGATCATGTGATTACTATAGAGCTTCAGTCCTTCAGATTCTTTAGAATTAATTTACCTCTAATATTTCCAATAGAGTTTCAACCCTTCATCAACCCATAATCATTATGCTTTGTTGTTTAACTTGTTCTTGAGAAGAAGATTTGTCCTATATAATCCTATTTAAAACTGTGATACCCCATTGTTGCCCCACCCTACCCCTAGGGGTCATGATTTGAAGTTAAATCTACACTACCTTGGGATGATTCCATAAAATTTTGACTAATTATGGCAGTGTGTTGTTCAGAAAAAAGATTTTTAAAGAGTTTTTTCTATATATTCCCGCATAAAACTTTGATTGACTATTGTAGCCCTGTCCTACCCCCAAGGGTCATGATTTGAACAAATTTAAATCTACACTATTTGATGCTTCCACTTTAGTTTCATATTTCCTGACCCAATGGTTCTTGAGAAGAAGATTTGCAATCATGCCACCAAATTTCAATATATCTTACAGAGCTCCAAAAAATTGTTTACCCCAAAGTGTATTTACCTGATTTTGACTTTATTTACCTGATTTTCACATCAATGCAGATTTTGATTTTCAGTAGAATGATTGAAAAGTACATGTATACTTTTGACAAGGAAGATTATACAGTAGGTCAAGATATAAGATATAAGTGTTTTTGAAGAGGGAGAAAACCAACAAAGGTCAGTTCATGCATTGATTTAAAAAATATTTTGAAAATATCAAGAAGACTTTTTGCTAAAATTGGGAAGCATTCTTTTTGACAAGGAAGATTATACAGTAGGTCAAGGTATCACAGAGTCAGAGACACAGAAAACAAAATTTTCTTTAATCATGCTAATACGGCAAGTTGAGACAAATAAAAACTTGGCTATGAATCCAGAATAAACAAGAGGCCCAGGGGCCACAGCGCTCACCTGAGCACATCAGCTAGGAAAAAAACACATATCAGATCAGAACTGAAAGTTAACTAAAGTTGGGGGGGGGGGGTAAAATTTACCCCCCTCCCCAGGGGATCATAATTTCATCAAACTAGAATCTACATTACCTGAAGATGATTCCATATAAATATTACTAATCATGGCTTTGAAATACTTGAAAAGAAGATTTAAAAAGGTTTCCCTATATATTCCTATGTAAAACTTTGGTCGGCCATTTTGGCCCCACCCTTTCCCCAGGGGTCATGACTTTAACAAACTTGAATCTACACTACCTGAGGATGATTCCACATTAGTTTCATCTTTCCTGGCCCAGTGGTTCTTGAGAAGAAGATTTTTAAAGATGTTTCCTATATATTCCTATGTAAAACTTTGATAAGCCATTTTGGCCCCGCCCTACCCCCTGGGGTCATGACTTGAACAAACTTGAATCTACACTACCTGAGGATGATTCCATATGAGTTTCATCTTTCCTGGCACAGTGGTTCTTGAGAAGAAGATTTTTTGAAATGCCATTAATTTTTCTCTAATTCATGGTTATCTTCCCATGGAAAAGGGCATGGCCCTTCATTTGAACACACTTGAATCCCCTTTACACAGGGACAATTTGTGGCAAGTTTGGTTGAAATTGGCCCAGTGGTTCTTGAGAAGAAGATGAAAATGTGAAAAGTTTACAACGACAACAACAACGACGACGACGGACAAATTTTGATCAGAAAAACTCACTTGAGCCTTCAGCTCAGGTGAACTAAAAAGTTATGCCTACTGCAAAGTCTTTCTATTCATAGAAATTGATTTTCATTTAAATCTCTGATTCTTCTTCCTGGAATGGAGATCGTTTTCGCCATTACTCAAATATTCCTGGTCACTAAAAGGCTTTTAAATCTGTACAGTGGAGCCTCATTTATCTGGACGCTTTGTTTCCCCATTCAATTTGTCTGGATTTGTGAAGCATCCCTATCAGTGCTCCAAGTCGCACTTACTTTTAGGTCGCTAAATGGCGACCTAAATTTTTTTTTTGGTTGCCATTTCAGAAATTCTGGTCGCAATAAAAAATATTTTCACTCGCCATGATTAAAACATAAAAATAACACTATTAAAACAATGAACTAACTTCCACATGTGTAATGTTTTTATTTAAATCAAAGATTATTAATTACTGTGACTAGAAATCTTTTGATAGTTGAAGGATATTTTTTTTTTAATACAACCACCCTTTGTATAGAACATGTACACAGAAGAACATGTACACAGAAGAGTTTCATCAAAATATAATAAAACTTTGACAATTGTTAAGACAGGACTTTGCCAATTGTTTTATCATGTTTAGGCCTACATGTTTACTTACTACTACGTGACTATCTAAACCTAAACTCAGTCCTTATCAGTGCCGCCAAAACACTTAATTGTGATATGCAAGCCATTGACCAAATGCTCTAATTACAAATTCAGAGAAACTCAAGAAAGTTTACGATGTTTGGATGCCATTCTCTCAGAAACATTATGTACATGTATATACATTTCTGGTTCTATCTAACTTAACTATTACAGCATGCTGTCATAACATTAAGTGATCTAATTCCATACAGCGCTTTGTCAAGTGTGTTAAAGTATTTATCTTCAAACGTTGTGTTGATAGAGAATCTTGAAAACATAAATGTCGATCCCTATCATAACAAGAGGCCCATGGGCCTCATCGCTCACCTGAGAAGCTTTGGCCATTCCGTTCTTTACCAGATTTCCCCCTTGTAATACATATTGTGACCCCACCCTACCCCAATGATCATAATTTAAACAATTTGAATTCTACACTATCCCAGTATGCTTCCACATAAGTTTCAGTTTTTCTGGCCCAATGGTTCTTGAGAAGAAAATTTTCAAAGATTTTTCTATATGTTTCTATGTAAAACATTGATTCCTTATTGTGGCCCCGCCCAACCCCCGGGGTCATGATTTGAACAATTTAGAATCTACACTACTTCAGGATGCTTCCACATAAGTTTCAGCTTTTCTAACCCAGTAGTTCTTGAGAAGGAGATTTTCAAAGATTTATTCTGTATATTTCTATGTAAAACTTGGATTCCCTATTGTGGCCCCACCCTACCCCCGGGGGTCATGATTTGAACAATTTAGAATCTACACTAAAACAGCATGCTTCCACATAAGTTTCAGCATTTCTGGCTCAGTGGTTCTTGAGAAAAAGATTTTCAAAGATTTTTCCTATATATTTCTATGTAAAACATTGATTTCCCATTGTGGCCCCCCCTACCCCCGGGGGTCATGATGTGAACAATTTAGAATGTACACTACTCCAGCATGCTTCCACACAAGTTTCAGCTTTACTGGCTCAGTGGTTCTTGAGAAGAAGATTTTCAAAGATTTATTCTGTATATTTCTATGTAAAACTTGGATTCCCTATTGTGGCCCCGCCCAACCCCCGTGGGTCATAATTTGCACATTTTAGAATCTACACTATCCTAAGATGCTTCCACATAAGTTTCAGCTTTTCTGGCCCAGTGGTTCTTGAGAAGAAGATTTTCAAAGATTTTTCCTTTATATTTCAATGTAAAACTTTGATTCCCCATTGTAGCCCCACCCTACCCCCAGGGGACATGTTGTGAACAATTTAGAATCTACACTATACCAGGATGCTTCCACATAAGTTTCAGCTTTACTGGCTCAGTGGTTCTTGAGAAGAAGATTTTCAAAGATTTTTCCTTTATATTTATATGTAAAACTTTTATTCCCCATTGTGGCCCCGCCCTACCCTGGGGGTCATGATTTGAACAATTTAGAATCTACACTACCCCAGGATGCTTCCACATAAGTTTCAGCTTTACTGGCCCAGTGGTTCTTGAGAAGAAGATTTTTTAATGACCCAACCCTATTTTTGTCTTTTCTTCATTATCTCCCCTTGCGAGGGGATATGTCCCTTAATTTTTACAATTTAAAATCCCCTTTACCCAAGGATGCTTTGTACCAAGTTTGGTCAAACTTGGCCCAGTGGTTCTTGAGAAGAAGTCGAAAATGTGAAAAGTTTACAGACGGACGGACAGACAGACAGACAGACAGACGGACAGACGGACGACGGACAAAATGTGATCAGAAAAGTACTTGAGCCTTCGGCTCAGGTGAGCTAAAAAGATGGACGTTGCCAGCCAAAATTTTCTCAGTCGCAAAAATGCGACTTAGTTTTAATTTCTAGTCGCAAAACCAACTTTTCGGTCGCAAATGCGACCGTTTTAGTCGCAACTTGGAGCACTGAAGACTCTTCTGTTTTAGTGCTCTCTTTCATACTTTTTGATAATGTCAAACATCTATGTTTGATATATTTTACTATGACAGAGAGCAGAAGACAGCAATACAAATAAGAACACAGAATTTTTAAAACTATTTATAAAAAATAACCAATAAAAACATAGAGACTTGAGCAAGTCTACATGGTAAAAGCATGTTGCAAATGACATTATGAACATATTTTATATTTTTATATTTACAAAATGACCACTTTGTCACCTGTTAATTTTTTTTCTTTAAAGAACACTCTTACTATGTTTTGTTATGTATTATTCTTTAATTTTATGTAAAGATTACAATATAAAAGTAATTTGTGTGTCATTATTATGGAATAAACTTCTTATAGATACCAATTTCTTTGATTTTCCTTAGAGTTTAGTTTTCATCAAGAGTTATCTTCCTTAAATGAGTTGTAGCCCCTGATGACCCATTTTTTACCCATTTGTAAAATGGGTACCTTAAGAAGTTATACAGTAACTTAAAAATCTGAATGAAAAACGTCATTCAACGAATAGAGATAAACTAGCTTTTAAAAGATAGAGCAAGTTTTCGCCGGCATAAGTTTCGTGCATCAAGGCTTGCAAAATAATTTAGTGTTTCAGCAAACAAAATATCGTTTGATAAAGGTCTGTAGCAACAGCTTTTAATGTGTGTGTGTTTGGGGGGGGGGGCTCCAACAAATAAATCTAAAAATCTGCGTACTACAGAGCTGTGCTTCTAGTAAACCATCAGATCTCTATTTTTCATGATAAATTTTTTCCGTATTAATCCAGAACAGTCCAAGTCAGTATGAGTTACACATAGCAGAATAACCCGATTTTTTAAACTGACAAAACTAAAGGTCGCTAATCAGAGATAAAATTTCAAAATTTTGCTCTGAGGCTACAACCAGTTATAAGTAGGCAGATCATTGTAGAAAAAGTGAACAAACCTACATGAATATTCCCTACACCTAGAAATTCTCTTAACTGATTAATTTCAGTTAGAGAAAAAACATGCATATGGTCCACGTATTGCAGTCCTTTTTTAAAGGACAGCAACTTGTATAAGTATTAAACAGCAATGTTAAAAAGTTCACCGGGAAATGAACTTTTAGTTGGTCATGTGATCAAATCTACTGAAAAACCCTTCAGGCTTCACAGGATTTGATCACGTGACCAACTAAAAGTTCATTTCCCAGAGAACTTTTAAACATTGTTTTTAATTTATTCAATATCATTCAAACTATTTTACCTAAAATAAGATTACATTTATTGCCATGGTCACATTTAATAAAATATAATAAAGGTTAAAGTAATTAGCCATGTTAACCAAAGAGATAAAATTTTAAGTGTAAAAAGGTCAACATAAAAATGTACCATACATGATGATACATCAGCAGAATTGATGCACATTGATTCCTTATTTTCTCTGCGATTTCGAGTTACACTATATGATTACTTATCCAAAATAAACTTCCCAAAAAATCCTTGATTTAACAAATTTCACGAATGACATACCTTATTGTCACGATTAATTTTGGTCAAAGCACTGGGCAAAGGCGGATAACTCTTTAGACTACACGTGTTCGAGGTAAACATTTTCCCAATCCTTCTTAACAATTTTTATAATTGTTTTCATATGTTGATTTCAGGAACATGTTTGTTCAAGGAAAATAAGATTATTATTACATGGAAAAGTTACCTGCTAGATGCACTGGAGTTGAATCAATCATGATCTATGGCAAGTCGTCCGATTCGCGGCAATTTTGGTGCATATAAACAAACCGAAATGTCGATCCCGATATAAATATAACCTGTACAGAACACAAACATCGAGGCCTACTGGGGTACGCTTCATAGAAGCTAAAACTACACGGAAGACCAAAAAGGTTTAAATGATTGAAAATCTAAACAAAAAATTAAAGGTTCTGTAAGAAATTGTTTGCAAGAATATGTATTTTTAGTTTTAAAACATAAATTAAAAAAAAAATAAAACATTATTTAAAAAATACTTAAAAATTCCTTGGTTAAATGCATATGTATAGAAAAGAAAATTGCATGTTTTTGCGATATTGGATCTTGTTGGCATAATCGAAAGGTCTTTTTAACAATTTTTCTGATTTTAAGTAAGCAAATTTAATTTGCAATCTATCAATCAATTAACACAAACACACACACACACACACACCCTCACACACACCCACACACACACACACACACTCACCCACACACACACACCCACACACCCACACACACACACACACACACACCCTCACACACACCCTCACACACACACACACACAAATCATGTATTCATCTTTTCCAGCTACGATATAGGTTATCTTTAAGGCAAAATAAATGTAATAAAGTTAATCTGTCATAAATACATTGAATGAGACAATTGAACTGCATGCAGAGTCGATATACAGTCTGCGCGTTGCTTTGTTGTAGAAAGTATATGCATAGTATAGCTTCTTGTAGCCATAGACTGTAAAATATAACATGTGTATGAATATTTTATGTGCATGGTATAATTATATTATTAAATGTAATTATACATTGTTTATAAATATAACATGAACATGAATATTGAATAGATATTACAGTTGATCCTTGTTTATCCGGAAACTTGTAAAACTAATAGGAACTAATTAATACCTCTTTACAGTCAGACAATGCATATAGGCGTCGGAACCGGGGGGGGGTCTTCTTCAAAGATTAACATAATATAAGCATTGAAAATTAGGGCTTACATTGTACATTTTTTCGTTCTTTTAGTCCCTCCCCTTTCAATTTGCTTCCGACGCCTATGCAATGATATCATTGCAAGAGTGGATCTTCAGCCTACCCCCCCCCCCTCCAACCCAAACGAAATAGGGTTTTCACATTTAGGTCCATCATAGGCATGTGCGGATCTCGGAATTTGCAGAGGTTTCAAATGTTTACATTAAACCGAGTAAATGTGACCTTGGAACGCCCCCCCCCCCCCCGAAAACGGTGACCCATCCCCGAACACGGATCTTTGTTATATTGGTATCAAAACTCATTGCCATGAAGATTTGAAAAAGTAGCACTTATATCTGAAACTTTGCAACAGACAGCAATAATGAAATTCTGCATCTAGTTGTAAATAGGCTATTTGTGTGCCAAGTTATATTGAATAAAGACAAAATAAGAACTGTACGAGAATTAACGTTTAAAAAAAATTACAGAATTTTCTATTTTTAGTTAGATGGAAATACCGTTCTATTGAAAACAAAAACAAAGCAATTGTTTATGTATCTTTGTTTAGTCTACTTATGTACCACGTAATATTGAAATTGGACCAAAATTGTAGGAGGCGTTTGAAAAAATAAACTGTTCACAGAGAAACGAATTGATAGACAGACGGACGGAAGACGGATACCTAACTATCGCATAAGGCCATGAAATTCGCAAATTTGAAAGAGGCACATTGCTTATCATGATCATAACTATACACTTAGCTTTCTTAAGCTTACTTTGGTCACTTTATACCTACAGGTAAATCAGAGTAACAAAGTATTTCCACTTTATATCCAGTTGGGCACCGCACCCTAACGGGAACCAGAGACCCTTGTCACCCTTAAGACACATTCTGGAAATTAAGGTCTTCCGTTTCTGAAGATTAGGATTATTAAGGTCTTCCGTCTTCAGCGGAACTGAAATAAACTAGATAAGAATAATGTACTTAACTAAACTGAATGTTAAACTTTGATGAAATTTAAACAATAAAATGGAATGAACGAAAGCAGCTGTTGCAGAAAAAATACATAACCCGCGTAAGCAATAGCTGCGACCGTTCATTTTAGTAACAACAAACAAAGAAAGACACTTTATTGTTTATATTTATATCTGTTTAAATTATCATTTTAAATAGGATTAAAAATATTAATTATTGTGTTAATAATGCGAACATCTTTGTACGTTTCATTGATGGAACGGCCACTGATCAAGAAATCTGTACAGGTGATATGCCTAATGTAGTTTATGCAATGGGCTTTATTAAGAAATAAAGAAGAAAATATTCAGTGGATGTAAATAAAAAGTTTTTAACGTGTTCTCTATCTGGATGTCATACAGATTATTCAGAGACAGCTTTTTCCTTGTATTAAGTTTGAATTACAAGACGGGAGATAGGAAAAATACTTGTCATCTCTCATTCGAATGATACTCAATGTTGCATTATTTATATAAAAAAAAATAATCAAGCTTAAAATAATTCACTGTTATTTTTCTCATGCATCGTGAATTTTCATCGGACCTTGACTGCTTTGTTAGCAGTTGTGCAACCTGTTTATTGATCATACATGCATTGACCTATATACATTTCGGATGTCAACATTACCGCTCTTTGATTTTTACGCAAGTCCCAGAGTTATCTAAATCGAAGCTGGTCATCGATTTAATCAGTTTAAAATCAAGAATTTGTTATTTGCATAAATCGTAAGAATATTTCTGGACACAAATATAAAGTTTTTCTTGAACATGTACGAGTATTTAAAGATAAAATGTCTGATTCTATTCTTTGAAGAATGAATTAAAAGCGCTGCGTATACCTGTATGCTCAAGTATACATGGTTTCTCTGGTCGATAGTAATTTTGAAAGTTATTGTAATTGCACATGTACATAAACTAATGTTGAATTCTACCCTTGTGATGTCCATTATAGTTTCGTTATTTAAAGAATCGGGGATATCACCACTGCAACTTAATTGTTTTTAATTTGAACGGATGATTCTATATAATTGGAAAGGTACACATTTTTTAGGAGCCGTCGTCTCCCTCTCGACTTTGAAGTAATTGCAATCGTTATACGTATATGGGCCTATATCAAGTTATTCTAATTGTTGCTTAATTTATTTCAGAAAAATAATGTTGTTCAAATTAGCAATTACAAATAAACATGACAAATGCACACAGTAAATTGTAAGTGGAAGTGACGTTTTTAATTCTCATGAAAATCGAAAATAAAATTAAGTAACTTTGAGTTTTGCATAATTTTCTAAATAACTTATCATTGTATTTTTCCGAATGATATGCTCATAAATTTCTTTTATTTCCTCAAATAAAAATCTTGAATATCACAATGACACGATTTTATGTGCATGTACATGATATTAACTAAACTACATACTGTTTTACACAGAAGAACACACAACATGAGCTTTAAGAATACGAGAAAAAAAGAGAATAATTTAAAATTCTTCTAACAAATGCAAAATTTCTTCCTGTAATTTCATACAAATATTCCAAGCCTTTCTTTCGTGTTTATTGGTCTAAAAGCGATTAGATTATTTTATTTCCTCTCATTGCGATGCGTAACCCCACTGAAATGATACAATGCTTTCCTTTAGAGTCGAGAATGGTAGGTCAGGGCTGGTGTTGAAATCCATGATTACTCCATAACCTATTATAATATTAACCAAAAGTCATACGCGATATTGTTTTTAATTCGCAGGTTGTCAAATAAATCTAAGAAAAGGTCGGCTCACTAAACTTTTTTTTTCATAAACTTTTTAATTTCTAGAGTGTACAATCGAGCATCGAAGTGTGTACATGTACTAGTTTTTTTTTTTTTTTTTTTTTTTTTTGGGGGGGGGTATCAGTTTTCGCTGCATTTGATTTCCTGATTTTTGCATTGCATTTCCCACAATTAAACAAAGTTAATAGAATATAATTGGTGACAGTAACACAAGTGATTTATAAAACGAAAGTCAAGCAATAAAACGTTAAAGTTTGTAAAATCAAGTCAAGTCACATAAAACAAAGACAGGTTGAAACGCTCACACATGGACATACATACAAACGTTTTGGTAACTCGGAATAGTCCACAGTAAAACTATATTTTCTTGATGACTGAATGTCCAGTACATCTTATGTTCACGTTCGGGATAGTTCACGGCAGTTTCATCACACATACGCAATTATCATAGAAGTCGAATGCTTTTTAGGTTGAGGATTGACACTAATTCCTTAGATAAATACTGAGTCTCAAATTCCTTTTCACTGTCTTAACTTAACTTGATAATTTTAGCATATGTTAAAAATAAGCATTAGAAATAATTTTTGTCATGAAATTCAATTCTGCTACATTTTAAATGAATTTGTAAAATTAACTATTTGAGAATTGTCATGCTGCAGATCTGAAGCTTGCTAGCTGTTCTAAAAAATGAGATGGATCACCAGAGAGCTAGATTGATTGATTGATTGTATACTGTTTTACGTCCCGCTCCAGAATATTTCACTTATATGGAGACGTCACCATTGCCGGTGAAGGGCTGCAAATTTAGGCCTATGCTCGGCACTCAGGGCCTTTGAGCAGGGAGGGATCTTTATCGTGCCACACCTGCTGTGACACGGGGCCTCGGTTTATACGGTCTCATCCGAAGGACCGGCCCATTTAGTCTCCTTTAACGACAAGCAAGGGGGTACTGAGGACCTATTCTAACCCGGATCCCCACGGGGTCCAGAGAGCTAGAGTGCCAGAGAGCTAGAGTGCCATCCATATTATCTCAAGTTCAGGCTCAGAAGGACTATTAAAAATGGTTGTAAGGAATGTTTAACTGTAGAAAAAATTAAGAATGTGTAAGAGACACACGGTAAATAATATTTTTAGATTCAAGCAGCTGAAAAACACTCATATATTGAATATAGCTTCAGTGCAATTTTTTCTAATATTTTCTAGTATTTTATTCTTCGTATTTCTCAATTTATCATTTTCAAATAACGTGTATTTATTTTTATTTAAGGGCACATTAAACCTTATTTGTCAGCTAGTCTGACAGTGTCCATCTGTCATGAGAACTTTAAACTGGATATTAACTATTGAATGAGTTGAAATAGGACTTTCATATTTCACATGTGCATTATTTGTGACATGTGATTTTCAAATATACTGTGATTTTTAACCCCGTGACTTTGATCTTGGAGCTTGACCTACTTAAAAAATAACATTTCTTTAAATTGACCATAACATTGAAAGCTTTCATTTTATATACATGTACATGTAATACCTGTGTCAACGCCTTTGAAAATTCACTATGATTTTTTACCCTTTGACCTTGAAGTTTGACCCTCTTTTCAAAAACATTAACCATAGTCATACCTTTTGAGAGAAAAGAGATCGATTAAGGGTCTTATTTTACCACTGTGTTTTACCTGTAACAACATTTTTTTGAAATACCGATACTCTGATTTTGACAACGTGACCTTGCGGCTTGACTTACTTTTAAAAATTTTAATCTTTATCATAACTTTTGAATAAGAAGAGATAGGTATTCTTATTAAACAAAAATCAACTGTATGTAACCTGTGATAAAATCATTTCAAAAACTAGCATATAATGAATTTAGACCTTGAAGTTTAACCGGCTTTAAACATTGCTTAAAACTGACAATGACTTTTGATAAAGAAAGGATAACGCTTTCATACCTAGATTTACATATGTATACACGTATTAGCTGTGACAAGGCCTATCGAAAAAAGCATAGCTTAAGAATTCGTCAATACGGTAGCACACAAATGGCTTTGCTTATCACCAGCGTGTGTCATGGTGTGACGTAAGGTCATTTTAACAAGATCAAGGTCGCAAACATTCTTTTACCATCTTTTTAAATTGTAAAACATATATAAATAAGATGACATCTACCCTTAAAAGATTGCTTTAACATTAGAACGTGGCATGACCTTGACCCAATGTCATTTCTCCCTGTCCGCAGCTCCGACGGAAGACCTACTCGTTGCTTAGCAACGAGCTCAGCTCTAGTTATTATTTTTTTCTTAACGATTTTGTACGCACAATTTTTCGAAAACATCTCGATCAATTTGTATGAAACTTTCAGGTCTGATAGAAAATCAACAATTCTAGATATGTTTTTATTTTTATGACGTCACTTCCGGTTGGGAGTTTTCCGCGTTTTTGTGATTTTTAAAGGGTCACTTTGTCCGACAGTTTTTTCGAAAAGAACTTAACACAGAAGTATGAAATTTTCAGTGATGCTAAAGGAACCTCTGGAGAAGTGTACTAAGTATATCATGACTACCGGAAGTACGAAGCGCCGACGCTCGCTATGGTCCGAAAATAGTGCTATCATAAAATTAAAAATTTATAACACATTTTATTTGTTAACTTTTTTTACAAAAATATTTTGATAAAACATATCAAACAAAAGATGTGTAGAATTACATGATCTTTCAAATGATATCTCGAAAAAAGGGTTGGCCCCTATAATTACATGTAAGGGTGGAGAAGGGCCGAAAGTTTTTCCATAATATCTCAAAAGGTATTGAGAATTTGTAATACGTCTAAGGAGCAAAGTTCTTCAAAATGTCAAGCTCAATCTATTAATGTCAACAAAAAACGTCCGTCGACGTCATTCCGGTCAAACCGGAAGTAGTCCAAAATTGCATATTTTTGCTGTTCTTGACAGGCTTTTGGATATCATATGTCACTGGAAGCTAAAATCGTAATCTTAATTTTCCGTCCGTCGACGGCAATTCCGGTCAAACTGGAAGTTGCCAAAAATAGCTTAATTTTGCAATAATTAACATAGATTTGGATGATGTAACCACTTTTGGACTTCACTACTCTTTTTTTTTTTTAAAGAAAGTTACTTCCGGTCAAACAGGACGGAAGACCTAATTGTTGCTTTGCAACGAGCTTGGCTCTAGTAATTATTGTATTTTTCTTACCGATTTTGTAAGTGCGATTACTCGAAAACGTTTTATAACCTAGAAAACAATTGAAACTAAAATATCTGGCAATTATCAATTGAAAACTTTTCCAATATCTTGGAAAAAATTGTCTTTTCTCCTGAAGCGAAATCCACTACATTGCCAAAACGCATGATTGCCCTTAAGGTCTTACAACGAACACCTGTTGCATTCATCAGATCGTAGTTTATGACCACTAATTCCTTTCTGGGGTCAGAAAAGTAATTTTTCCAGATACACTTCCAATCATTCTGTGTCTGCAAAGAGTCTTCATCGAAGTAGTTGTCAGACAGGAGTACAAGATAGTACCTAGAGACTGATATCTGCCATGCCGTCTCTTCCGATCTTACACAACCCGGAAGTAAGTCACGTGACGGGATGAATGCACTTAATTCATTTCCTGTTAAGAACGGTTCGAGTCTTGTAATGAGCCACAAGTTTAAATCTTCGATTTTTTCGTCATATGAAATGTAAACCACACAATCTTCGTCCGGCGTTTTCTGAGACGTCCTCAATATTCGTCTGGATCTTAGAATGACCCTCAATTCAAACTTTAAAAAGTGAACAAAAATTATGAGGATAAATGCAATAACAAATGCTAAAGAAACCGATAAAAGAAGGTATTTACTTTCTTGGCCATGTTTTCTGCAGTCAAGATGAGAAAGATAAGATGTCATTCGATTTTCAATGCCTTCCTTTATACAATAAAAGGAATATGACGTACAGTTTTCGGCTTGTTTTGTACGAATCCAGTCATACATCCATAGATGTGAGCAGGTGCAATTTATAACGAAATTTCCCCGCTGAAGAAATACTCATGGATCTAAAAATGAAAATTCCCGAGGAAGTCCATGCAGTTGTTGGGATCTAGGAATAGAGAACACACGCAGATGAATAAGGTTTTTCAAGGCTTCCATTTCAAAACTAGGTATGAATGCTAAATCAAGAATAGACACAAGTTTAAGATAATGTCTCTCTGTTATTTTCTGAATTGGATTGCCTTTCATATAGAATTCAATTTCTTCACTCTTGGGAAGGATATTAGGAAGACGTTTGAGTCCAGCTCCTGTACAATTTATTTGAAGTGTCAATATCATTTCTTGCTCTGCTAAACTCTTTATTCTTGGTTTTTCAATACATGAACATCCGGGGTGACATACAGGCTCTGAAGTATGATTACAAATCAAGTCTGGTATTTGTCCATTCTCTATAACACTTGGTATCGTTATTCCTCGGAAAGTATCTGGTGTCTCACAAGTTATGTTGAAGTAGTCTCTTTTCATAATCTCAATAAATGACTTGAAATGCATAACAGGTTTTGCGATCTACAATCGCATATCAGAGGGTTTAATCTAAAATCAAACCCAAAGTCATAAAGTTTTCCCAAAGCAAAGAGATTCGAAAATCCCAATTTTTTTACATCTGGGATTTCTTCGAATTGATTGTTTGAGAAATCTACCAGACCTGGGCCATAAGTTTCTCCCAGGTTCATATTCCATTTAAATTTATTTGTACCCTTACTCAAACTATTATTTGATAAACGCAATTCACAAAATGGCCTTGTCTGTGATGTCGACAGATAAAAGAAAGTTTCCACTCAAATTCAAAAAATGGAAAGTCATGAATGCTACAACTCCCGTCTCAATATAACTGATAGCGTTATGAGAGAAGTCAACAAATCTAAGATTCCTATTTCCAGTAATTGAAAAGTTTTTTAAAACTGTTAATGAATTCCAAGACAAATCCAGACGCGTTAAATTAGTGAGGCAGCTCAAATTCGGTAGTGTCAGAATAAGATTGTGAGATAAATTGATCCTTGTTATACCTGGAAATTCACAGAAATTCATTGGAAAGGCTTGTATGTTCCTGTATGAATACTCCAAATTTATATTTCTTTCAAACATGTTACCTTCGAAATATCCATCGTTTGAAATGTTCAGGTGAGAAAAATTGTAGTTGTTATCAAGAATACTTTTAGAATAACATGCACAACATCCGGCCATTACAGCGTTTTTGCACTCATTCGGACAGTACAGCGGTAAACCATCCCAGCCTTGTGGAACCCATCTAAATGTCCCTTAGGAGGATGATTTCCCAGAATAAATCAGCATCAATAAAACGGACAAATGTCCAAGGTAAAATGCACGTACTTTTAATGTCATGTTGATTTCGCTTAAGAGTAGAAGTTAGACCATGTATTCAATGTCATTTTTTGTCTTTAATTCAGAGTCTAAAATTCAATACTTCCTAGTTTTTTAAAAATGCTTCCTTGTTCCTTCTGAAACCGAAACATTGTCACAATGTCGTATTCTCTAACTGCCAATACAACTTCAAAAATTGTATCAAACCCCTTGTCGCATACAAGCGTTTTAAATGTCCATAAAAAGAAAAGAATGCATGAATACTTTTAGACATCCATGTAAGATATTAAAGGACCAATTACAATATCTATTATCAGGAGGATTATAAAGGCTAACAAGTAACTTAAGTAATACTCAACATTAGCCCTTTTTCTGTGCCATTTTACTTTAGAATAAATTCAGTATCATCGAATTTGTAACTGTTTAAACAGCGGCAGAAATTTGTTCCAGGAAGGGTCGAATGTTAATATTTTTATGACATTTCAAGACTCTTTCCGGTGGCGAATTCATGGTTGATTAAGAGGTGTAATTTTAGTAATATTAAATTCATACACAGTATACGTGGGTCAGATCAATAGTCGGAAAGTCCAATAGTCCGAATGTTCACTATTCCGTAAAATAATTATAGTCTAATTATAAAATATACTTCACGGCGTCAGGCTCTGTGCACATGTACTTTGTATGTTCTATATTGTACATTTAAATATACCTGTAGTTTGGGGTTGAAATTCGGACCACAAAGTACTGCAACTTAATATTATGAATAAAATTTAAAACTTTTTTCTTATATTCAGATATTCCCGCATTCATAACAAAATTATAGAATTCCTTTTTCCTCGGGGTCTTTCGAATGAGACCTTTAAAACGGAGTAACATTTTCACAGAAGGTCAAGTATAAAAGCCAAAAGGAAGTATCTAAAATAATTAATGAAATTCTGAATATGCTTCTATAATTACTGTAAATGTATTATATTTAGCGTGTACGATATTTAGCGGAAAATGATTTTAAAACAAGTTGGCGTAGATTTGATTTAGCGTATTTCTTGATGTTCTTTTTCATATATCAATGTTCAAAACATTTAGCGATGTACTTGAATTAGCAGAAGTATCTTTCCACCAAAAGCGCTAAAAACAATACACCACCAAATGTAATACGTTAACAGTATATGGATAATTTCAAATATGCAATATGAACAACATTGATTAATTGTGAGTTGGATGCAAGTATCCGTTGATATGTAAAACAAGTTAATCTCAATAACTTGTATTGAATAAGGTATTCCGATACTCAGGTTCTGAAAATCAAGCATTTTCTAATTAAAATGCTCATAAAAATATTTCAAAGTAACGTGTTTTATCCCAAAATAATTCTTCAAACTTTATCTTTCAAGTTAATCTTATTATATAGAGAAAGAAGAAGGTATGGTTTTAGCTTTATTGTGCCCTAAAAATGTAATGACATCAACAAGTTTTGAAACTGGCTTAGATATTTGTTACATAATTGACTGTGATAAACCAGGAAAGAATATGGCATGAAGGTGCAAATATGACGTCATTTAAGTGAAGCATTTCTCTATTTTCAACAGAAAGAGGAGCAAAATGGGACATTTCAAGGGTGATTTTCCTTTAAAAAACAGTGTCCACAGCCATCACCCATGTTATTTTTTTTTATATTTTGTACAAAATTCAATAACAAATCACATATTGCAAGATCTTTGTGGGCGATGCCTGTGGAAAATGTTATCTGAAAGAAAATTTCATTGAAAATTCATGTCTTCTGCAACTTTTTAAGAAAATACGGGAAAAGAAACATGTTTATGACGTCATAGTTAGTATTTTTAAACAAATGTTAGAAAAACGTGAGATAAACATATACATCCAGAGCTTTCAGAATACGATTTTACAAAATTAGAAAATTCGTTATTGCCTATTTATTTAAGGAATAACTGTCTTATTTTTCGAATTCATGAAGTGATCAATCGATTGGCTTGTGTGATAGTTTGCATAAACGCCGAAGGCGTTCATGCATATCTTCATGAAATTGAAAAATAAGACAGTTATATCTAATATTTACATGCTTTGATTCCGCCAATCCACGTACTCCAACCCCTGCTAGCATCTGTCTAGCTGTCTGTCCCGCCCTGCACGTGTTTTTTTTTTGGAACCGCGCCAATACATTGATGGAGAAATAAAGTACATTTACATTTGGTAATTTAATCTCGTACAAAGACATTGGAAATGTAAATATCATAAAATATAATTTATATTCTTTCCTTAATTATTGAATTTCTATGTATTTAACTAGGTACTTTAATTATCGATTCGCTCTGATATTTGGTTGTATATAATAAATACAATGTATATAAACGTCCATCTGGTCAGTCATTGTTGCTTGACGACGTCTTGTTTTCTCCTCTCACATTGGTAGCGCCTATGAACAGCGATATGAACACAAGCTTGTAAACTAAATAAACGGCAATTCACAAAAAAGGAAAACCAGAAGAAAAAAGTGTCTGTGTAGATGAAAAAACCACAACTAATTAATTTGTTTGTGAACGAACCCCGAACGTTTTTTTCTTTCTCCAATGCATTTCGACTATACGTTAAAAAGATCACTAGAACCTTTGGTTATATTAAAAAAGGTGTTGGACCTTCAAACGGCACTATATCTGAACAGCTATTATACAGCCTATCAAATATATCTCGGCTTCAATAAAGGAATTATATAGATATTTCAAAAAATATTAATTTCATTCTAAAAAAAGCCACGCAGCTGTATACAGACATTCCAAAATAATGTTTCATGGACTGACAGGTTGTTAAATTCCTCTCATTACTTTAAGTACCCAATCCCTTAAATTGAATACAATGTCTTCCTTCTAAGCAGATAATGTCAGTCGGTTGATCTGTTTTTGTACATGCATATATACATGTAGTTTAGGAGATGAATTCCGATACTGAAAGCTACGACCTATTTTTATGTAAACCAACTATCATGCATGACATGTTATGTCCTCCCATGAATATGGCCAAGGCATTTGGTGTTTGTCAGACGTCTTTCATCCTTCCTCCTTTCTGTCCTTCGTCTATCCTCCTGTCACCCTTTGCCTTTTGCTCAGTTCACAGGTCTTTGGATCGCTTAAAACAATTGTGTATTTTTTCAATACCTCAATTTTTTTCTAAGCAATTTAAAGGCCTGTGCCTCGGTTCAAAGCTCAGTTTCAAACGAACTATCCAAAATATTTTATCAATCTTTAAATACTGATAGAAATTAATTAGAGGTATGCATTGCATTAACATTTTTTTAACTTGACTTTATATACATGTATATGCCTCACTTTTCTTAAGTGTTTAGCTAAGTTTTAAACATACCATTCAAAATGGTGTAATCAAACTTCACATGTTGATGCATACTGGTGAGAGCTATTTAATGGTATCACCATTTTGAACTTGGCCTTTATCTTGACCTAACTCTTTTTATCTCAATTTTAGCTCTAACGAAAATTAGTTATTACTTTTCACAAGGTCATTTGGAAAGATCAAGGTCACACATATTAGTATTCCTTTAGTCTTTTTCCTAACGAAACGTTGTAAGTTGCTTCTCTTACAAGGTTTCTTACTTGTATATCTTTAGTATGTGGCTTTTGACCTTGACTGAAGGTTACGTCTTCTAGTCCGTAGCTCCAACGGAAGACCTTTTCGTTGCTTTGCAACGAGCTCGGCTCTATTTTT